CACAGAAAAATGAAATAAACATTAAAAATTTACCAAACTAAATTGAATACCGAGGTTAGCGATGCATACACACAATGAATAATACAAATAATATAAATAATACATAATACAAAGAACACATGTTCACATGTGAATTTCATTTGTATGCCGATTGGAGCTGCAGTGACATGCTTCTACTCAGAATTAGTCTTGTATAGCACACTGCAATGTAAAGAAATTGTTGAAGAAATCAGAACTCTTTTTCCCACGTGTAAACAAATCACTGCAACATACAAACAATGTGAATTTTATCAAAGTAAATGGGCGAACAATGACAAACCCAGCAACAATATCAACAGTTTTCAAAAGTGATTATATTCCTATATTCTGCAATCCTAAGATCACTTGTGCCGCTGTTGAAACCCATCCATCCATTAGCTACATCTACTTCATCCTGCAGACGGCTGCAGGAGGAGGGCTGGAGCCTGTCCCAGCTGACAATGGGCGAGAGGCGGGGTACACCCTGGGCTGGTCGCCAGTTCAACGCAGGGCCAAAACAAAGAGACAAACAACTGTGCACGCTTGCATTCACACCTACGGTCAATTTAGAATTACCAGTTGACCTGCCACGCATGTTTATGGACTGTGGGAGGAAGCTGAAGCACCTGGAGAAAACCCACATAGGTGCAAGGAAGACATGCAAACTTCACAGAGAAAGACCAGCAGAAGAACCTTCATGCTGTGATGTCTGTGCTGCTGAAATGCACACAAGAAAAATATCGAATCAGTCAGTCAGCCTGCCTAAGATGCTTGTTCACAGTATCAGCACCTTTCTGTGCATAGCACATGTTAACATGTATTTCTGCAGAGGCATAAATCCACCTTGAGGTTTGGTGAGGTGAAAGATGATTCAGGAAAGACTGCCATTTGGGTTAAAATAACCACTTGATTAAGGCTATGGAGTAAGTGTGGCCTCCATGTATCTATCCATAGCAATGTCACAACCATGTAAATCCTACATTTGCTAAAAGGGCTTTGCCATTTGAATATAAACAGATGCTGTCTGTTGTTAGAGGGGGACAGCTTCACACACCATTTAACAAAATGTAAAGAGGGAACATCAGCAAATGAGTTAAAGCATGAAATTGAATGAAAATGTAAAGGCCTTCTTATAATTAACTGCTTAACAGAGTGCAGCCTTTGAAGTTTGACTCTGTGCTGTGGGTTAACAACATCCCGCTAAACATTTGCACAGGTTTATGAAGCTCCTACAACAGCCCTCTTTCTTGCCCTTCTCCTCACGGTTGAAATTCACAGGCACTTCACAGAGCGAGTTAATTCTTTCTCACTGGCGCTCCCCCAGGCTGAAAGGCCTACCTGTTGTCTGTGTGTTTCCCAATTATAGTTTTCTCCTGAGTAAGCATACATTAGGTGACTCATCAAGAACGGCTGTCTGCCAGAGCTGGCTGGAACAGAGTGTATTATTTCAGCATCAGTGTATATTTCAGGCTGAGAGGAGGAGAGCGAGGCCATAAACTTAATGGGTTAGTTCACTCAATAAAGCGGTGACTTGTATGACTTGGAAGCTTCCCAAAATACAACATACCCAGGAGTGCCGCTGGTGGTTTTTCTGGGGGAATTTGAGAGGAGGTGAAAGTGGGTGTGCATGTACTTGTGAGTTTTCTTGTCATTGTAGGACTGAGTCATGAGGAAGGAAAACAGAGAAAAAATGTCGGAGGTGAGAACATTTTCGAGGGAACACTTCTTATGGAAACAAACTCAGACTCGGTATGTAGTGTTAAGATTAGGAGTTAAGATTTAAGATGGGTGTTCATACACACACACAGGCAGAACACAGAGATGGTGCATTTGGTGTGTGCATGAATACAAAAAGTACTCAAGTATTAAAAGACAGCACTAGGTTCCAGTGTTCACAGAGTTTGTGCATGCTTTCCCGTTCTGTCGTGTTGGTGCGTGAACGCTGCCCGTCAAGGAGAAGTTTTGTAACTGCTCATAGTAAACTGACACTGCGTGGAAATAGAATTACAATCTTCAGAGCTCCATGGAAAACAAGATGAAGCTGAAACATCTGTGAGATGTTTAAAGGGCAAACAGGGAGAATGTCAAAAACACTTTTCAGCTTATTCTGGAAAAAAAAAAAAAAAAAGCCAACAGAAACACTCAAGGCTATAATCTGACTCATTCATCATAAAGTTTTTTATTTTGTTTCTAAATTTTGGTCGCTTAGAATTGAAATCAGATTTTTGTCAACATAGAGAAACCCAGTGAAACTGAAGCTGTTTCTTTTGTATCTGACCAAAAAGATGCTTAAATTAAGTGGTTAAACACAAACATTTATAAAATTAAAAAAAAATCCTTGCCACCTGCTCGATGTTTCGGCCTCCTTTTCAGTCAGTCAAGTTAAGGTTAACTGGAGCAGCATGCTAATTCTTTTTAGACTCACAAAGAAACTCAAATTCACAGTAGCCTGGAGTTTGGAATTAGCTTTGCATGTGGCCCAGAGTAGATTTCTAAAGGTGAGACAGTCCTTTAATCAGCTCGCTTCAGTGTTTTCAATCCTCACCAGACCTGTCACATGGAAAAAAAGGACTCCTGTCTAGAGCTGCACAGACAGTATTTCATCTCTGCATGTCTGGCAGCTGTTCCAGCCTGCTCGGTCTTTCTTTGGCTGCGTCTCCACTACTCCTTTACAACAGCTCTGATACAAATTTTAGAGGTTTAGACAATTGGATAAATCTGTTGTGTTGCATGTGGAACATTTCTTTGTGGTCATTTTAGTAGTTTAAACTATAAATAAGTTTCTCACTGTGGATTTATTTTTGGTCATTTATACCCACGCAGAATGAAAAGCTGAAAGTAAAAACATGCAAAATAGTTTTTTTTTAAAAAGTACTTATTTTTTAATGCTTTCAATTTAAAGGTAAGTGAATTTAGTTTAAGTTCACAGGCCTTGTATTTTCCCTCCTATACGTGGCTTTTATCTGATTTTATGTACTCTGAAAACCCAACCAGCGACAGAGCAGTGAGCTGTCTGTTTCGTCCCTCTGACTTCATGTTCCCTTCCTCTGGAATCCTTCTGCATATCAATGACTTCATGTCAAAACAAGCCCCAAATCCTCCACTGTGAGTGAATGATAGAGTTAGAAGGAAAAGGAGAATCTTGCTGGGCACATATCTGTCTAGAGAGAAGGGAAAAGGAGGCTACATGTGTGTGTTTGTGCATATCTGTGAGCCTGAATGACTGCTCATAAGCCTCTTTACATAGACTGGAGGTTAAAAGTCCAGTGTTTCTCTCTGATCATTCCTGGCAGGCTGGTCAAGTGTAGATTTTACTCGGGGAAGAAGAAGAAGGCAGAAACATGAAAGCAAGTGAGTGAGTGAGTGAGTGAGTGAGTGGTGCAGATATTTCACTACCACACTACCTGCTCTGTGAATTTTACATCTTCTGGCAAAGCAAGAAACATGGAAAGACAGCGCTTGAAGGGGAGCAAGATGCCAAAGAAGCCTGAAGCTGTGTTGGCCCACCTGCAGTCTACAGTTGGCCAGCGAGGCTCGCTGGCAGCAATGAAAAGGCACTGACTGGCTTTCTTCAATTTTAAGAGACTAATACAGCGAGGCTGTCTTCACAGCAGACATGTTGACATGTCAGTGAGAAAAGTACAGGTATAATTAACATTAGAGATGGCTGCATTTAATTTAGCGGCATCAGTGTCAGAGTCCAGGTATTAACACTTGGCTGAAAATAATCTCATCTGTTTTGATAAGTAAAATGTCTTCAGTGAAAGCAGTCTACTGTGAGATGCGATGAAAAGCATCTCTACCACATGAATGAATTCATTTAAGCAGATACAACACTGCCACCTCAACATATGATCAGAATATTTCTATATATCGCGTAATACATCATAACATATTGGTATTTTGTGTTGTTCTATGTTATGATGTATTTAACACTAGATAATACACAATTCATTTGTTCCAGCAGATTTAGCAACAAGCTCATTTTCATCTGCAGTACCTGTTTATTGATTCATTTCAGACGTATCACTATACCTTAAAGCCCCCAAAAAACAACAAAATTATTCACAGAAAATGAAAAGAAACCAGTCAAAACCTCCCTGAATGCAGTATGTCAGTAAATAACCTCATAAGATTGCTTTATTAGAACCCTGCAAAGTTTTTTTTTCTTCTTTTTTAAAAATGTATGCATATGGCAAATTTGGTTTACCTAGTGTAATGCAAAAAATGGGTCTTCTATAATATGACATCATGCAAGCTATCATATGAAATCACACATAACATGTTTTAAACATGCTTATAAATAAACTCACTTGAATTGGGTGGAAATGTAGCATTTTGAGGCATACCTTCAAATTTGCCATGAGAATGAGCCAACACAGACACTCAAAATGCATATTAATATGTGTGTCTATATATAGATTTCAGGGTCGAATAGTTTCTGAAGCACACAATGCAAATGAGAAATATTTTAAAAACCTAAAACAAGTTTTTCTCCTTCACAAGTACTTCAGCTTTAACCATCATCATATTTAACATATTTAGTGTAAAATGAATTCCTGGACATGCTCACAATGAAAGAAAATGTGTTCTACAGTCTTAATATCTTCTTATAAAATCCAAATGAGTCATTATTCCAATTAAACCTTTCCTGATGGATAGATTTCATTTAGAATTTTAAATCTGACTTCTTTTGGCTAAAGGGAACACTGGATATGATTAATATTGTTTCCTTCCTGACATATTTTCTTTGATTAGGGTGTTATTGTGTTGACAGAACCTTTCTAGTAGATGTATTAGTAACTATTTGCTTCCTAAACGGACATTTTAAACACATAGTGGCCTTGCACTTGAACTGAACTTGAACGTGATGAATCGCCATGTTGCTCTCTGAGGACTCACCTCCATCACTGTGCGGCGCTGTTGGAAAGTCGCTGAGCCTAAAAACAAACTTCCGAGACCCGCTTGGAAAACAGGAAGCTGCCTTTGTTGACTCCACTGGAGGAAGAGCAAGATGTCTGGGCAGGGCGTGGACGATTTCATTCAGCAAAACAGAGCTGTGGCCGACCAGGTGGAGACGTATCGGGGTTACTGGGAGAGCGACAAACACTGGGAGCCCCGGAGGGAGTTCATTCTGCGGAACATGGGCGACTTCGACGACGAGCAGCTAGACCACCTGCTGTCCCTGTCCATGGTCTGGGCCAACAACGTTTTCCTCGGCTGTCGGTACGTAAACAACGTGTTTTCAGGACAAACTTCGCCTTTTTTGTCAGCCAGGTTTTTACATTTTCGTTAAATTGATCGAGATAAAACTTCGCAACAGCCGTTAAAACTTCCTCTGGCTCGCAAGTTTAACCACTCTTTAGCATTTAAGCTAGCAAGCGTAGCGTTTAACTTTACCTTTACTCGACATTATTTGCGTTATTAAATCCAAGCAAATTAAGTATTTCCGCCATTTGAGCTCCATAAATTGTTCGATATTGAAGCTAATGTTTTTTAAATTGCAATTTTGTGCATTTTACCCAGCAATGTTTTTAGCTGCACTTCTTCTTCGTGTGTTGTTCATAGTGTGTATTGGCCTCACTGCTGCCCCCTCTGTCCATAAATGGACCAACAACAAAAATGGCTCTGCAGAGTCTGAAAGGATAAATTCACACATTTCCGAGTCTGTCTTTAAAAACAGTAGTCAGGCACTTAAAATAAAGTTGTTAACGTGATTTCTCCTCTTCATATTGGCTCTTTCATAATGCACTCTCCATTAAAGTGATGGAAACCAAAGTTGGAACGATCTGCCCAAGACAATCCACACGGCCTAATCAGTCACCTTTCAAGTTTCTGCTTCAACATATATTTATTGGAAAGCATTTCCTCATTTTATCTGAGTGTCAATTTCTTTTGAACTGTTTCTTATTTTTTTCAATAATGTTTTTACTTTTTCCAACACTGCACTGATTTTCATGTACCAAATTGTGGCTTTATCTGTCTTTTACAATGTGATGATTTTATTACTTGTCTGTTTTATTTTGCTGCCTTCCTTCTGTACAAAAATTCACCCTGCAGTTTATATAAGGCTTTATGAATCAAGTGGATGTCTTACAAAAAGAAAAAAATCCCGACAAAATTCCCTCTTTTGTTGCTATCTCTTCACTACTTCTCAACAGGGAAACTTTAAAAAGTTAGTTTTCTGCTGAACAGCACATTTCTTTGGAAGGTATTTTCTTAATTAAAGTTTCCCAAGCTGGTGAAGAGCATGTAAACTTGTATTACTCTTCAGAGGAGGATTACAAATCAAAATCACATGCAGTTCGAAAATCACAAAGGCTGGATACACTTGAGTATGTCAGAACCAGGGTTTAAACCGTTATGTCATGGTTTCATGACGTAATTCAGGCGTGCACTCTGTGGTGTGACTGACATAAGCCCAGTCCTGTTACTTAATAACCGCACCTCATACATTTTGCATCGTGTCTGACCCAGGGTTTAAACTGTTGTGTCAGAGGTTTTACGAATTCATGCAGTCATTGTTGTGTAACAGTCATGCTGTTGACGGTGTCTCCTGTAGTAATGGTTCATTACATGCTTTAGATCGATTGTACAGTGCACAGTGAACTGACAAGACATATTTAAAAATATGTATATATGTGTATTGCAAATGGAGTCACAATATCTGTCAGAAAAATAGCAATGAGACATTTTCCCTAAACCGTTAAGCCCTTGAGCCTGTATTTTATGCATATTTTAAATATTTCAAGACTGTAAAGGTCAAAAGTTTTGGGAAAAAGCTTGTAAATTAACAGGCTGAATCAGAAATTAAATCAGTATCAGCACAAATACAACAATAGTATATTTAAGTTCAGATAGGAAAAAATAATGAGCTGAGCAAGTATATTACTGCAGTTTGTCAGCCAAAAACGCCAATGTGCTGGCTTTCTGAGTTTGTGTTCTGAACTGCTCATCAGTTTTATATCAACCTGGCCTTCGTGAAACTGTTAAGGCCATTAAATTAGATAAATGAAAATAATATAATGGGTCAATATTGACAGTAATCTGGTGTTGCAGCCCCAAAATATAGCATATGACTCGCATGTCATTGTATCCCTTCAGCTCAGTTTTTGATTTCATACGGTTTTGGACAATATTTAAACACACAAAACTGTATTTCAGTTAATTAGCCAGATACGAATCAGTGTTTTGCTTAAGGGCACTTATGTAACAGTCCTGGCTTTTGAAGTACATATGGGATGTTTTCTGGTTTCAAACTTCCAAGTCATATAACCCCTTAGAATTTAGTTGCATATGGTGCTTTTATTTTCCTAATAATTCTATTTAAATGATGTTCTGTGTATCTTTCAGTTCAGCCAAATCGAAACAGTTTAGATTTAAGGCTTTGTACATAGCATTATCAGTATCCTATAGGTTTTCTATTGAATTACTTAATGAATGTAAAAATTCATAAAACATTAAACGACAGCCTTATAAATAACATTTTTACTTCACAAATTAATACAATCATTTTGCAATGACCAATATTATCATCTACTTTTTTTTCAGCGGTTACAACATTATTTTGGCATTTTTTTCTCGACACCTCTTAGAAACTATATGAACCACAGGGGTGAATTAAGAGTATTATGTTAATATAACATGTCTCTTCACTAATGGCAGGTACAACACAGAGCTCCTAGAGAAAGTGAAAGAAATGGCAGAAGGCATCGTGGTGGAGGATGCACCGGTTTTCAAGACAAGAGATGAGATTATGAAGAAGCAACAGGTATGTCTGCAGAAGAACACACTGATCGGCACACAGATATGTTGACAGAGAAAATTTCTCATGTGTTTCTGTGTTTTATCACAGGGTCGATGATCGGGCCTGTCGTTTTGATGGACTCAGCTGTGAAGCACATACAGGATGTGCTTGAATCAAATTGGACCACATTTTTATGGTTTTTACTGTCCTGCCTCATTTTTATTGGACTCTGAAAAAAAGTGTTAACATCAAAAATGTTTTTGCGAAAAGCAGAAAGACTGAGATTTTTTTTTCTCATCCATTTCTCAACATGATTTTAAATGTTTTTAAAAGTGTTCTCAATGTTTTTAGGGATGTTTTTTTAAAAATAAATTTAATTGAAAATGAAACTGGATCTTGTCCTCATGTCGCTGTATGAAGCAGAATAAAGGGCTTGTGTTTTCTACTCATGAGGTTGCATTGTCATCGATTTTAGAGCCGATTTGTGGTTGGTTAAGTTAAATTTTTCGATATTATGCAGGACAATATAAATATATCTGACTACATCTCCAATTAGAATAAAAGGTTGTTTTGATTTTTGTGCTTCTAGTCTAAATTGTAATGGTGAATAAAACAGTAGCATGGTGATGTCAATCCCTAACAAGCAGAAAATGTGTAGGAGTTGGCTTTAATAACATTTAACATAATATTCTGAAACTTTCTTATAATTAGTCAATGTCATAGTTTCATTTAACACGGCAAACTGTTGGATGGTGGGTGTTACTGGTGAGCTAATAAGGTTGAAAAACAACAGATGTATTGGGAGGAAGAACCATAAACACAACCAGCATCAAAGTCTGAAAAATGTGTTTTATTATGTTTATACAGCATATTGTTATAAGTATACATTTTTTTTTGTTTAATTCACAAAATTTTATAACATATCCCTTCTGCTTATTAGGTGAAATAAGTCACTAGCCACGATATGACCTTTACTGTCTAAGAAAAGAGGAATTGTGTTTTATGATGACTGATTATTTAGCTGCAGTTGGGCAGGGTTAAGTCATGGATGTATGCTCAAGTGGTGTTTTTGTTGGGTATCAAGGACAAATAAAAATAAGAGACAAACGCAGGCGTGAAAACAACTTGAGCCTTGAGGAAAACCGACGATGTCACACTCTTGTAACAGGGTTCAAAATGACACGAGTGTGCTCTTTGCAACAGTTTCCTTATTAACTGCCCTCATTTAGAGCGGAGAAGCATACGGGCCGGACAGCGCTGCCTTTATCCTCTGCTTATTTGTTAATTTACATGTCAGCTGTGCCACTTTAAGAGAAGGATCAAAAGCACTGACACTTCATTCGGGCTGACACACGTCACAGGCAACAAAGGATTTCAGAGTCATTTACTTTCTTGTGGCGAGGGAAATTAGGAAACCATGTGGATGCATGAGCGAACAGTTTTTTTTTTTTTCTTCTAAACACGCCTCTGCATTTACATTCTATTTTATTTATTTCTTATTATGCACTAAAGCCAAGACTAAAAGGAGAACACCATGTAGATCCAGCCTATATTGTTCATCACTATATTCTAGCCGTTGTAAACATTCACAGGTTTCTTACTTGAATTAATTAAACCGATATAGCAGCACCACTCACCAATGAATTCCTTCGCTCTGGGGCTCCCGTGCTCTACATACATTTTGATTACATTTAACACAGACTGACATGGTGGTGAGAGGACCGGGGGATTCACAGTCCGAGCCTGTCCTGCCTCATCCTGGTGTTAATATTTACTTTCCTCATAACCCTCTCCAACATTATCTCCTACTTCAGAGCAGAAATGATTCAAACAAAATCTCAGAGATGGCAAGCCAGGGAGTCATGATTCATCAGTACAAGGGAGACTTGGCACTGTTGCAGCCTGTGACGTCTGTGAGCCCAAACCTACAGAGTCTCTTAAAATAAACAGAGATCTGCCGGAACAGAGCAGAGATTGTTCTTTATCAGCTATGTCTGCGGCTGACTTGAAGAGTAATGATGCTACCGACTGAAAGGCATTTTCAGGGTTTTTCCACAAATATACTGATTTGGTCATCAATGTGCTCTTTCCAAAACAGCCAAGTTGTGTGCACACCAGCAGACAATACAAAAAAGAAAGAAAAAAAAAAAGAAAAGAAAAAAAAAGGGGGGGAAGTTTCCAAAAGAAAGAAAGGTCTGTAAAACTCAAACACTAACAGCATCAATCCAACCAAACAACAAAGATATATTACAAATTCTGTTAGCAATAACTTATTTCACATCATGCAATAAAAAAAAAAAGAAAAATTAAAGACAAGAAACACTAATAAGATTGATATCCCCTCTCTCATTTTCCTAAAATGTGTTGGCAAGCAAGTTTATGTCCATTTGGGTTTGGTTGTTTTCTTTTTTTTTTCAGGGTGGCACTTGAGTTCTTCTGATATAGTTGCTGTTTTTTATTTATTTTTTTTCTCTTGATGAGGTAAAAATGAGAGACTGAAGTACTGGGATGATGAAGAGGCTGATGGAGAGAAGAGTAGAGAGCGACAGAAGCTCAGACGTCCACCCAGCTCTGCTCCACGATGGCCGTCACCCTCTTCTCGTACTCCCTCTTGTTTTCCTGATAGAGCTGTGCGGCCTGGCTGTTGGCTGGGCTGTTGGGGTTTGGCTCGTCCAGCAAAGACTGCCGGAAATAATGAAATGGCCGTTAAAGAGGAGAGAACTGATAAATGCACTTCCATGCATACAGTGATTCGTCCAAAATTCACAGCATCAACATCCCATGCATTTTAAATGAGGCTGCACTTATTGTGACTTAACCCTCTGAACCACAAAGCTGGCTGGCAGGTTTGGTAGGAATGTTACCTTCAGGAAACGTAACAAAAACAGTTTACCAAAATCAGAAACTATAAAAATGGGCAAACTTAACCAAAACTAAGCTTAAAACTGTCACATTTTGTCAAAGTCATTTTCTTTTGCACTTCAAAAATTGGCTAAACGTTAGGTGTTTGCACTAATCTAGCAAAAAATTCAGCCCTCCTTGATGCAACTGCGAAGTGACTCAGCTCTGACCAACAACCACATGACAAAAATTCAGGGACTTTCAGGCTAAACTGCACAAGAATGAAAACAAATCAAACATGTAGGTAGTAAAATATCTATAGCATGTAGAGTCACTATTTTTTCAGTACTGGTATCACCTGTGGGCACTTAAAAATGTCACACGGGTTGATTTTAAAATAAATAAATCCACTTTCATTTTTGTACTTCTGGCATTGCAACTTTGTTATACTGCTGTTTCCACAGAGGTGCAGAAGTTTACATTGCAGTGAAAAATGAGCCCATAGGGAGTAAAAATGTGACAGGAGCGTATAAAAAGAAAGAAGAAAAAAAAGAAAAGAAAACACCCATAAACTGCTAGAGGTGCAGAGGACTAAACTGAAAGTCAGACCAACCAACCTGGATGGAAGTGAGTATGGACGACACATCATATGTTGGGCTCCAGCGATTCTGGAGAATGTCTAAACATATACTGCCATCTGCGTAAACTGGTAAACACAGAAAGAGAGAGACAAAAAAGCCTCAGAAAACAGATCAACATGACAACGTGAGTTATGTCTATGCACATGTATCTCTCCCCATTTAGTAAAGACTGAATGCACAAGATATCTGGAACAGCTGCTATTAGAACACAGACAGTGCATGTGAATCAACCAGGCAGCCGAGAGAATGTCTATCAAATCTGAAACTGCCTGAGTCAAATACGTTTATTTTTGGTAGCAAACATGATGCCTGCACAACAGACACACATTAAAAAAAACAACTTCATCTAAGTGCACTTCCAGCTCTAACATACTATAATAATTTTGATTATGCCCTGAGAGGGGAGGAGATGAATAGGAGGAAGCTGCTTGAATGAGGAGGAAAGGAGGAACCCAAAGACTTCAGATAATAGCAGCGCAAACTGAGCATAAAGGGCCAAATATTTCATATATTCAGTTTATATGCCTATAAACTGCAAATACTGCTTATAGATATATAAAAAGAAAAAGATAAGTACAGGTATTTTTCCCCCCTTTCTTCAAATACATGGTTTAGTGAATGTGTGGCGCACCAGTAGCTGCTGTACTGCTTACCATTTGGGTGAAACATTCTGGAGACAAACCGGACTGTGGGAGGCTTGTTTGGGTACTCCTCTGAAAACTCTATCAGAAGCTTAAATGTTCCTGCAGAGGTAGAGGGGAGAAGGAAGAGGGCAGGAGCGAATGACAGAGGGTGGGAGAGAGAGGGGAGTGTGTGTGAGCGGGGTGAACACAAGTAATTTTGCAAGGAGAATACAGATGTGAAGGAGGTCAGAGAAAGTGAGAGAAACAATTACGTTACTATAAATATCACCAGCTCGGATAGAAAAAGAAGCTAGTCCTTCGCTGAAGCAGATATGTCGATTCTGCAGGCTAAAGGGGTAATAAAGGAGGGAGATGACTAACAGAAGACAATAAACCTTGAGTCAGAACTCGTTGCGCCGACCGCAGTTATAATTACGAGCAGAAAAATGTGTGTATGTGCACAGATGTGTGCAAGTATGCTGTATCATATAGAAGCACATCAGACTCGTTAACAAGCAAACGAAGCCAATTAATGTTCTGCTATCAATAATCGTTATGCATTTAAAGAAGCAATAAAACATCACTACCAGAGATACATTTTTAAAACCTTATTTCTATTTTGTCATTGACAAACTGTGGGGAGCCTACTGTGTAGTTGGACAACCAAATACAATTTTTTGTGGACGTTAATCAACAATTGGTTAAAGAGTAAACTGGCAGCTTTAGTTTTAGTGTTTTTACATCTAGATTGGGTGTTAATTGTAGGTACTGTCCAAAAAAAGAAAAAAAAAGTGGGTTCTTTAGGATTATCATTTGTCAACATTTGTGTAATTGCAATTACACAAATTATGCTACAAATTTCAGTTTTTACAGTTACAGTGAGTACAAAGAGCAGCCCTCTTAATTAAAATCTGAAAGTCTGTTGAAGCAGCCAAGATGCCAATAACAGCAAAGTTTCACAGCTCTCAGCTTTTGCGAGAACATAATACAATGTCATCTACCAAAGAAGACAAATCACACATTCCTGGTTGATAATGTTGACCTTAATGATCATTGGAACAAATGTGAAGATTATCGCTTCCACGGTTCAAAAACAACAACAACAACAACAACAACAACAACAACAACAAAAATACAGGGCAATAGCTGCTCCATAGTTGATGTAAATCTTTGACCAAACCTGAAAGATCAGCTGAACTATTTCTAGGTCTTAACTTGAGATAACTTAAAATATGTTTCAGCACTTTTAACCAACTCCAGATATTATGTTTGTAATAAGCATATTGAATTGAAAGAACCTATTTGAAGGTGTGCAAATATTTGGGATTGTGGGATTCTGTGCTCAGTTACATGGACTGTCCAGGTGTGTAACCCAACATCACTTGACTTCTGGCTTCTGTACTTTTAGAACAAACTGCCAGGAAGGCTGTAATAAATGAACTGAAAAATGCAACCTAAAATCAAATCCAAAGCTTGGATAAACATGAGCCTGAACATAATTAAGATGAATCAAAAGTTAGAACTTACCATCTTCAAATGGTGTTCCCACAGGCCTGCAGAGGGAAGAGAGAGAGAAGTAAATTTCCAAAAATTCCCACTGCTAATCCCCACCAAGACCTTTTCTTGTCGAAAGCATAACCATTACAGTCTATCCTTCAAGGACTCAGCACAGACACCAGAGTCTTTATTTACTCAGCTCTACACATTCATGCCGTCTGTGTTAAGGGGCCAATTAAAACAGCTGCCTTCACATTTTGAATTACTAGCTGCTTCCCCTTTGAATTAGGTGAGCAACTATTATCGAGTTTATTTTTACAAACCCATGTGTATTTCTCTGGTTTGTTTTTGTTACACCTTGTTGCTCCTTGTTGGGGTTTCAGTTACTTTCGGCTATGTAATTTGCTTGTATGTTTGATGTTTTATTAATTCTTGCTTTGACTTGAACTTCGTATCACTAGTTCTTTTTAGAATTAAAAAAAAAGCATGTTCCTTCTTGCTTTTTAATGAGTCACTCTCCTTTCAACTGCACTTCAAATTATGTACCAACAGAGCATACAAAAAGTATCTTTGGGTTTATCTATACTTTCTTTCTTTTATACAGTTTCTTGCCCCATCAACTCGAGCCCCAACAGTGTCTCCCAGCCTGTTCCTCCTGCAAGAACCTGGCTGTGGCTTTGCCTGCTGATTTTCCCCAGACAGCTCTGTGCAGCAATCACGGCTGTAATCAAAATGTCTTTTTTTTTTTTTTTTTTTTTTTAAAGCAGGAGGACGTGGAGAATGAGAATGCACTGGGGTGGGTGGGTGGGTGGGTTGCAGAGTCTGTGCATCACCATCACAGTGGCACAGTAAAGACAGCAGGGCGGAGTTGGATTTAGAGCATGACTCACCCAAAAATAACAGCGTTCCAAAGCATGATGTTGTTCTCTGATGGTGCTCCACTCACACCGGTAGGAGGATCTTCTTGAAGTCTGGATAAGACAGAGAGACAAAGAGACATTAGAAAAAAGGATAAAAGAGATGGGCAGAGAGAAAGACAGAGGGAGACAAGAAGACAAGAAAAGGACAGCGGAGGGGGAGGCGAAAAAAAAAAAAAGAAGCTAAAAGCAAGACGGGGAGATGAAGAAACATGAGAGGAAAAGAGACAAAAGGACAGAAACAGATGAAAAAGAGAAGGATGGCCAAAAGGGAAAAAAAAGAGAGACACTTACAAGAAAGAAAGGGAGGAAGAAGCCAGAGGGAATGTAACGGAGAGACAAGGATGGGTGAGAGCGCGAGGATTTTAATTAACACCTTGACTGCAGGATAATTATCAGTCAAAACACGAACTGCTGGATCAACATGACTTTCAATAGACAGCCAGGCTGGCAGGATCAACTGCACACTGCCCATCCTGCTGTCACATGTCAGTTAGCATAAGCTATACTGTGAACTCTTATCTGAAGGACTACTCTACTGTGACTGTATCCTCAGTGAACCTCAAAGCTCTGGTGGTGTTGATGCAAAGCCTTTTGGCTACAGAGTCGACCTTCACCTGAAATGACTTCTGACTAACAGAGTCATGATCAGGCTGTCTGGATAAACCACAGACTGACATACAAACCGCAGAAGAAAGGAGAGGCACCCTGATGTGTCTTTATCAACACATGTTTGTTATCATGTTAGCCTCCATCGATGACCGAGGTGACACACTGATGATCAAAATAAAGTCTAGCTTTTGAAACCTCTGGAACATCAGAATCTGCTCTTTTCATCTCTTCATTCCTTTCATTTCTGATTGTCGGTATTGTTATTTCTGGTAATGGACTCCTGATGAAACAAAAATAAGATGCACTACTTTGGCTCGGATGCAGCCGCCTCTCTGTGGATATGAGCAACGTCCCGCCTACAGCACGTCTGATTGGTTACACGTCATAAATATTATACTGGAGAATAAATGTTGCAAAGTTCTTTTAATTAAACACATGGAAATTTCAATTATAATTTGTGTTAGAGTTTGCATTCTTATTACTGCAAATGTAAATCACTTCCAAATATCAGTTATTGGTCTCTTTGATTACCAATACTGTCATCAGCCTTAATAAAAACCCTTATTGGTCAACCAGGAGCAGAAACAGAGGAAGAAAAACCACGTAATCGAGCATTTAAATTCATTTTGCAGGCTAGAAACACAGATATATTGGTTCCACTTACATAAGGATTATATGTATTAATGTAGGGCTCTAACTTTTTTTTTCCAATTTATATTTACAACATGTAAATGTCCAAGAAGGAGATTTAAAAAAAAAAAAAAAAAAAGCTTCGTCTGAGCAGTCCAAAACACACACACAAAAAATATGACTACTAAACAGAAAAAAGCTGGTCAACTGGGAGACTGCACTGACTCAGCTCATTTCTGGAATCCACCTTCCAATCCTGGTCATTCCAACTCCTTAAGGCTTTCTATTGTTTTAAGAATGGAATGCGAAAATGAAAACCCATGAAGACGTCACTGCTTTCTAGAAATGTCCCGTGTTTGTGTTTTGAGAGGTTACAGCCCAAGTGATTCATCTGACAACCAAGAGATAATCTCAGAAGGAATAATAGTCACTGAAAATAATCGTTAGTTGAGGCTGCACAAACAAAACTGCCCAGAGCCGTTTGACTGACAAATGATCTCTGTGAAGTGCAGTGCAAAAATGCCACAGCAACAACTGCCTAGCAACAAAGGCGTCAACAAATCAAAACAGACAGGTGTCGCAGGTCAACATTTCAAATTAATTTTCCGACAACAGTGTGCAGCTTATTACACAGGTTTCTGATAGACTGGACCCGCATGACAAATAAAACGCAGTGTAGAAAATGAGCTCTGCTGTTTAGAACAGGCAACAGCTCGCAAACTCAGGATACATTACTGTGTCACATTTAAGGCCTTGCGTCAGATCGCTAATGCATGTAGGCCAGGTCCAGGAATCACCGCAGACTATTTAGGCCTACAATCCCATGCCCAGTGTAAAAGCTGGTTTAATAAGAGCTTACAGCTATAAAACAAGGTAGGCTGATTTGTGTGTCTGTGTGTGAGTGCAGATCCATGTCTAAGTCCCTTGCTGCAGACAGACCCACTGCAATTAACCTCATTTACGGTAATCTGCCTGAGCTCTCAGCTGGTAGAGGGATGCTCCACTCAACTTGTCTACTAGATGGACTGATAGTTACTTTATTTTACTTGGAAACTGGGGATTACTGACAAGTCTGCAGACAGCAGATTAGGTTAAGTATGGGACAGGCTTGGGGGTTAGGAGGAGACTGCACGGTGGTTCCTTGCATATAATTTGTCAGTTAATTAAATTTTTTTAAACTATTTTGATATTTGATTAACTATGCAAATTATTTCTTGTAACAATTCTGTAGTTGCACTTTCTCAAATGTTAGGAATTGGCATTTTTTTTCTTTTCTATAGATTTCTGTAAACTGAATATCTTTGGGTTTGGGAATGACTGTTGGACAAAACAAGACAATTTAGGATTTTAAATATTTTGTCATTTTACAAAACACACACCTGACTGTTGAGAATATAGCCAACAATTATTTTTATCAATCATTAGGATCGTTATTAGTTACAGCCCTAGTATAATTCCTGTTATTCACAACTCATCAAAAACATTGTTGTCAAGTAAACCCTTCATATTTTAGTAAACTCAGCAACTGTAAAACTGCTAGAAATATGAACAGCTTTAGTGAAATCAAACACCCAGGTTTGCAAACTTACTCTCTGTGCCAATGAACTTTCAACTGTGCTAAAATATCCTTCAGAATGAGGAAATATTGCCCCATGCTTCTCATTATAAACCCAAGCCAGATTCAAAACAGAAACCAAAGGTATTAAGGTTGAAAGTATGTCTAAAAATACATTCTGAGAAGAAAAGAAACCAATGTTCTATTGAAAAGAACGTGAAGAAATTCTACAGCTTTTGAATTGTAAACTCAGAGGTGAAAAAAATGCTAATTTAAGCAGCACCTCAACACCAAAATCAAATTTCACATGTAGATTACTGAGCCAAAAACATCCCACAACAGTGTAGCAGTCCAGCTCAGCTTCAAGAAGCATATTAGTCTGCAAATAAGTCAACTTTACAGATCAAACATTTGAGGTTAAGCAACATTATGCAAGGCTGAATTCAATGGACACTGGGGCTGATTCAGGCATGTGCAATTGTCTTTTCCTTGCCTCAGTGTTACAGTTGACCACCTGGGGACTGGCACAGCAGAATAGAGTTACACTGACACCTTATCCGCCCTGCATCAACGGCTGTTCTTAGTAGAATAGCTTAGCATCTTTTTTTCCACTGACAGGTGTGTGTGAATAACACACTCACGCACATACTGTAGGATGCCATATGGAGCAGGGCAACAGATTGAGGATAGCAGGTATTACAAGAAGGCCCCTGCCAGGTGTGATTCTCCCAGGAAGACACAACATATTCTTTTTGTCTTCACAGCACGAGTCTGATATTACCATTTACACCAGAATACAGATATAGAGCATCTATAGTCTACTTCAATAAAAAAAAAAAAGCTCAAGGTAGAGGTGTTGTATGAGCATTGGAGAAATTGATAGGAATCCTATGAGAGTTTATCTGAGAACACGTTTTAACCACTACTATGCCAAATCATTGTCTCTGCCGTGAATCTGTATGATATCTTGCCACTGCAATCACTGACATTTTCTAGAACACACTACATCATATTCCAATTTCTTCTTTACTTTTAATATGTAAAAATATACAGACATGGGATGAAGTTAAAACCTGAACCCTTGAGCACAAGTTTTTTCAGTATCTTGAAATACTGGGGGCTCAGCCTGAGAAATGTTCGGATTTTAAAAAGATAACTATCATTTTAAAGCTATTTCAGAGTAAAATGAATAAAAACGTGCGAGACACTGCTCTAGGAAAAGTTATGGCCTTCACAGTCACTTGAGCTCAACACCTATGGGAGATTTTTGACCAAAGTGTGAGACAACGCTCTCCACTACCACCATCAAAACATCCAATGAGGGGGATTTCTGGTGGCTTTTCCTTTAACTTGTCACCTGTTTGTATGTCTCTGCATTGTCTATGTGAAAGTATTGGGTCATCTCATAATGTTTAAAGGCGCATTTTAGCTTCTCCTGAGTGATTGTACCACCAGGATACAGAGATCATGCATCTATATTCTACTTGAATAAGAAAAAAGGCACCAGAGAGAGGTGGCAGGAACATATCCTGCTATGTTAAACACCTAGATGGAGATTGAGCACCCCCCTGACCACAAACCCCGAGTTGTGCAACACCTGCAAGCCACGTTGCTGGCAAGGAGGGAATTAGGACCAAAATGCTAACCGGCTGTTTGACTATTTCTGCCCATTCAGTAGCACCATTTAAACCCAGTAGCCTGCAGACTGGGCGGAATAAAAAAGATAAATCCTGTCACATTTAGCCTCTAATCAGGGCCAGTTGAGGCAAGACAAACGGCTTGCTGAATTGTGTCCACAAGCCTTCCATCCAGCCAGATTTCTCTTACCTCAGTTAACCTCGGCTAGCTAAAATTGCACCAGCACCAATAAACAAACTGCCGAGGAAAAATGAAGAGACTAACGCTATTCCCTGGATACAAAACACTGCATGAAACAAAACTACCATCTCCGGATAGCGAAAAATAGCATCTACGCCATTCCACAGCTTCTTCGTCATTAAATAAGACGCTAAGTGTCGAGACACACCATTTAAATTAGAGTCTGTTTCACAATTTCTCCTGTCTGGCTTTATGTACAGTATTGTTTGCGGCTAACGCTAAGCTAAGTTAGCTTCATCGGCTAACGCTGCTAGCTAGCCGCACACACAAACAGAGCAGATGACTGCCAGAAAACGCTGCGGTACCTTTTAAAATCTCTCATAAGCCGTCTCCTTGCTGGGGTCGACATTGTTGAAAATGTGTATTTTTAAAAAAAACAAAAACTAAACCACCAGGACCATAAACAGAATTTTATCCGAAACCAAATCCGCTGTTTCTTCCGCTTGCTGATCTTTTCTTCTTCTCCCAAAACAACTGGCTAGCGAGCTATTTATGGTGGCGTCGGTTCTTACAGTGCTGTGGCCGGCAGCGGTACAGCCCCTTTAATGCCACAGAACAGGTAAGAAATGCTACTTAAAAGTGCTCCCAGAAAAAATAAATAAATTTTAATATATATATATTTCAGCCTATATCTAACATTTATTTTTTTCTAGAACTATATCTGAAACCCACCAATCAACCAATCGGAATAATTCTTGGTCCTTATGTCAGATTTGTGTTGTCTTCCTCTCCTCACTGCACAAATGTATTTCTATTAAAGAAAAGGCAAAATTCACAATAGTCACTTAAATTACTAGAAAATGAAAAAATAATAATAAATAAAAAATTGCTAAATTATAATTTATTTAAATAAGACATTGCTTTTGCATTGTGGTTAAAAAATAAAAAAAATAAAAATAAAAATAATAATAATAATAAAAACTGCCCCAGACAAATTACAGCACTTTGCTGATGAGCAGTTTGCCAAAATCAGAATACATTTCAACAGGTGCAGAAGTCTGATTGAGAGTTACAGAAAACACTGGATTGTAGTGATTGCCTCAAAAAGTTGTGCAACAAAACACTAGTTTACGAGTCCCATCATGCTTGTTTGCTTTTTTGTTGTTGTTGTTTTTTTTTTTGTTTTTTTTTCATATTTCTGTTGAACCACAATTCAAAAGCAATGTCATGGTTTTCATTAATTTTTTCTTGATTATTACTTTTGGCAATTTCAGCTTATTTCAGTGACAGCTGCTTTTTCCTCCTTTGATGGGAGGGTATCCTACAACAATTTCCCTGAGGTTTGCAACAGAAGGGATCAATAAAGTTTTATTCTATTCTATTCTATTCTATTCTAATCTATGTATGAATACATTTGAGGATGACTGTATGTGCAGCTGAGATGGGTGAATATATACTATTCACATTAA